AAATTCACTTATCTCCCAATAGTTTGAGACTTTTATGTATGAGTAATATGAAGTTTTCACTGGTTCGTTGGTTTCCCCATCTCAAACTACTTTTCACTCTAGCATGACCTGTAGTAGCTGGGGAGTATGCTCTCTACCAGTGCTCCTTTTTTTCCCTCTGTCTTCATTCCTTCCCGAGTTGTGTGTCCAGCTAGTTTTACTGTCAGGTGACAGGAATTATCCTGCAAAGAAGCTGTTCTTCATTTGCCCTCTGTCTGTCTTGGCTCTCTCTGGTCTATGGGCTGGAGCCTTGATTCAAGAGAACAGAAACAAAGCAACATTCAAGACTTCTAACTGCTTTTTGAATCAAGTGAAATGGGATTAAAATAGTGTGCTCCTGCAGAACCATACACCCCTGATTCTGCATAATGAGTTGTGAGTGACCACTCCAGTGTTTATATTTTTGCTTTCTTTTTAAATTCCATATGCCCTTTCTAGTAATGGAAGGGGGGAGGCAGTGCCTCTCTTTGGTCATATTTTAGTATTAATAGTAAAAATACAATATTGTTCCACAGGAAGCAAGACATCCATGAAAAGGCTAGGATATCCTGTATTATGGCATGCCACACTCTATGGTGGTAGAAGGAGCAGAACTTGGATGGCCCTGCTCTGGAAACACAGGCCACTACCACTGGAGCACAAAGAATAGTTACTAGCAGAATATGCTCCCGTAGATGAGCCGTTCTGATACCATCTGGCTGAGAGCAGTAGCTTGCATACGCAGCAGAAGGCGTTTACTGGAAGGAATTTAGGTTTGGCAAACCTGGGACCTGACTCTGTTGTTCAATCAGAACTTGCACTAAAGTCATTTGGTAGTCTATACATATTAAATGGCAAGATTTTGATCATAGCCTTGGAGAGAAGCTGGGGAGTTAACACTCTTGTCAAGCTATTGCCATCTCATTGAAATCTGGAAAGCTGACTTTAATTTAAAAACAAAACAAAAAATTAACAGAATATATAAAGTAAAATCCTATAGAAACTGTTGCTACTATCAAATTAGTGCTGATATGGTGCCTCACTCTTTAATTCTCACACCAGTTCTTCATATTTGGTGTCTATATAGCACTGTACATCTGCAAAGCACCATGCAAGTGCTAGCCTATTCGTACCACATCCCTGTGAGGTTGATAATTTGCAGTATTTCCATTTTAGAAATAGGGCTATCAAGATGGTAAGATTCATCTATCCTACAGCTGTATCGATGGTACCTGTTATAACATAGGGTCCCATGTCCTAGTTATAACACTTATTACTTGTATCGTGGTCGCATCTAGGATCCATTGTGTGGCGCTCTATTACAATGGTTTCCAACCGCCGGCCCGCAGACTGGTGCCAAGCTGTGAACTGCTGGCTGTCAGCCTGCGGCAGCTGCCACCACAAACAGCCAGCTTCAGCAGCTGTCTGACAAGGCCCTGGCTGTGCTGTCCTTTGGGGGATGGGGTGCACCTGGCAGCTTGGCCTCTCCCAGGAGCCCCCTGCACCCAGCCAGGAGAGGGTCTGGCTTCCTGGGTGGTGAGCAGCGTGGATGATCTCCATTAGCTCCTCAGTCTTGCGAGGTTAAGGCCTGGTGGAGGCATGGCTGTGCAGCTCATTTGGGTGAGGGGAGGGGATTGGGGCAGTGGGGGCTTGCCAGCAGCGGAGTGGTGAATGAGGATGGAGAGGTGAGCACGGAGACAGTAGGGTAGTGGGGTGGGGGGGAAGCATTGAAAAGGGGAATTAAAGGGCTCACCCACAATGGACCCTCAGCTTCTCCTTCAGTGGGGTAAAAAAAATCCCTGGTTAGGGAGCTGTTCAGAAGGAGCCTTTGGCCGGCTGGTCAGCGGGCGCACACTATATAGACATGAGCTCATTCATCCCTCCTTGCTGATGGGGCGGCAGAGGCTCTGCAGGATCATGCCACTGGCCCAAGAACACAGAATGAGCTCAGCTCAGGCCTCGGGCCTCCCAGCCTCTGCCACCCCCAGGCCACGCTGCCCGTCTGTCCGCCAAGTCCAGAGACAGACACGGGCTGGGGGACGAGAGAGGTATTTGCTAAGAGCTGGGGTCTTCAAGCTAATCAGGATCATCTGGACCATTTTGGGGTCCCCTCTCGGCTCTTGCAGGGGCAGAACATGGGCTAAACCCACTTGCCTCTACCCTACTGCCCTGAGAGGCCTTGATCCCCTCCAGAGAGCCAGCTGCCTCACTGGCACGTCCCCCTTCTCCTCCTCCACAGCGCTTTCCCATTAACACTAGCAGGCCAGGTCCCCACCACTGGTGTCAGTCGGTGTGGCGCCAGCAGATACCAGCTGAGCGTTTGTTGCTATCCTAAGATGCCCCTTGGTCCTGCAGGGAAGCTGGCTGCCCCCAGCAGAAAGGGCAAGGGCAGCATCTGTACAGCCGGCGGGGCGAGGTGGGGAACAGTCGGCTGAGCAGCTTGGGCGTATTGCCTTGACCTGGCAGAAGGAGCCACCCGCAGCGGAGAGGGCATCAACTGTAAAAGGCTTTGCTGAGCGTTTGTTGCTATCCTAAGATGCCCCTTGGTCCTGCAGGGAAGCTGGCTGCCCCCAGCAGAAAGGGCAAGGGCAGCATCTGTACAGCCGGCGGGGCGAGGTGGGGAACAGTCGGCTGAGCAGCTTGGGCGTATTGCCTTGACCTGGCAGAAGGAGCCACCCGCAGCGGAGAGGGCATCAACTGTAAAAGGCTTTATTGGAACCCCCCCCCCCCCCCAACACCATAAACAACCTGGACACCA